TCGTCGTTGGTTAAGCTCCCTAGTGTCTTTCCGCAGATGAACAATATCGCGTCACGTGATCAATTTAAACCAATAAGAATCGGAGAAAATGTAGTGGTGAACTGTAATGGCTGATAGTATACGAGTAGTTCAGCCAATCAGATTGCAGCATTTGCATTAGTGTACTAGTAAAATTCTACTAAAACTAATTAGAGTATGATACGAAATGATGTAATCGAAAGGGCCTGTGCAAGGACAGCAAAAGAGAGTTAATTGCAGATCTCGGCCGATGGAAACGAAGCACAAAATTTGTCATTCAATATCCTATGGCAATTAAGGTCACTAAACTTTACACTGATGTTAATAGGAATTCGCTGTGCATTCTTGAAGGTAAAAAAAATGTAAGGTTTTCTTACCTGTATAGTTTGCATCCAGTCTACGTAACTTAAATGTTGAACTCCAGTGTGAAAGAATAATTATAGCCAAAAAAGACAATCCAACAAAGAGAGCAGTAAACAACTTCAGGAATTCTATTTTCTTCATAACTTCAGCAGATTAGTAGTAGCCTTTTTCCAGCACAAAACCTTAAAAAGAAAGATACTGAATTATATAGTGTGATGAACCTATAAATGTACAGCATGTAACACCATAAACCCCTAACACCTACAACAGACGTAATAAGGTTAACCGTAAATGTCATGAACCGACCAATTCCAATTGACAGTCACATGATTTCGAGCGCAGTTTGGAAAAAAAATACGCACGGGTAAATTTTATAAAGGCTAACAATTTGTAGCAATTTAGTGTCTCTACGAGTTTATATTTGTTGTAAATTGTACTAGGAAAGCAGTACGTTTTTTCATCTTTGAGGTTGCAGAATTTGCGAAGGAAATCAAAAAGCAAATGAAAAGCAAAAACAATAGAACAAAAATGCAAAGTGAACAAAGGGCCTGCTGCAGTTCTCTAGGCTGAACTGTTTTTCAAGGGTTTGTGAAACTATCTGCCTTTTTTGTGGCTACTCTTGCTAGGTAACGTAGCCACAAGTTAGGATAACTCCTGCCTTTCTCGCCAATTTTTATTGACTACTTACGCGCAACGTAAACGTTCTGGTTGGGAGCTCGAGTTTTCAGGCTGAAGAGTTTATTTATGATATGTTTGTCCTATTTTGGACTAGTAATCACACACAGCATTCAAACAATGTGCACAGCGAGTTTCTTTGTAAAGAGATTTTAGGCTTCTTGAAGGCGTGGAGAGAATTTTCTGCGAAAAAGGTCGCGGAAACGATCGCGATATTGTGAGATGGGCATTAGTACAGTTCAGCATTGCGAAATGCTATATGTACTATTGATCCCAAATGTACATACATACATAAATACAAACTTTGTTGAAGCTCCCTAACTGGGTTTTTAAGCTACAATAGAAATGAAAAATGCAAATGTATGATGGGAATAAACCGCGGAATTCAAGATATTCAATTTGATTATAGATGAACGGATATATGCCGAATTCCAGCCTTCAGAACAGCCACATGGCAATTACGATAAGATAATACTAAAATGTTTACTATACTAAAATGTTTACTAAACTAATGTCGGCCTCTACATAAATGACATTATGACGGTGTCCATAATCTCGTGTTTTTTGTTTTGTTTTGTTTTGTTTTTTCTGCCTTAGATATTGACGAATGCAAGGAAGAAACGTATTACTGTCCGAAGTTTTCAAGGTGTAAAAACAAGAATGGTAGTTATGATTGCCCTTGTAAAGATGGATTTGAAAAGACCGCGCAAGGAACATGTTCAGGTAATAAATTATAGTTCATTTTATTTTACTTGAACCTAACCTAAGCCTAAGCATTTAGACCGGCAGAACATCAGATGCAGTGGCGGCGGTCGACTAGATGGTTTTATGACCAACTGTCTGTTTTATTCTGCTACAGCAAATAACATGTCAAATGCAGCTCACTTTAATGTGAACTCATTTTCAACGGATGCGCGGTTGTCGTAATCTAGTTTCAAATTTGAAGTACTAATCAGATGGTCTCGGCATAGCTTGTGACCAAGTTGACTGGGTCCAGTTTGAGATGAAAAGAAGATACTTTTCTTAAAGGTTATAAAAAAACCTCGTTGCATCACTCTACACCTACATCATCTACATAAATTCGCATAGGCAAACCTCTACCCGCTCAGTTCCTCTCGACTAATGCATCCATACCGCATGTTACTAGAGTCTGCACATTTTCCGTGTGGAGGAAATTAATATGACAGGCTAAATAAATTAGATTTTTTATTCTCTCTAGAAATTTGCACTCCGAAGTGTGATGAGAACTCTTATTGTGAAAACGGAAAGTGCCTGTGCCGAAGAGGATTCTCTCTGGGGTTTGACTATACGTGTCAACCAAGTAAAGGTGAGACAAGCACAGATATAAGAGTTGCTATGAGGGGTCTGTTGCAAAAATTAGCTGTAAAAATAGTCGAATATTATCGAAACAGCGAATGCCAAAAAAGGATGAGATAGTAGAATAGATATCCGTTAAGTTTAGTAAACGTTTGGTCATGCACAGTATAACTGAGCAGCTTACAGCTAGACAGCCTTCACTTTTATACTCACTTATCTCAAAGTTATTTTCTGTATTTTATTGGATTGTGATGCTCCTAGGCTTTACACTAACTGTCAGTAAATCATTGCAGGTCTCTTAGGATCAGGAATGTCGCTCCAGTCTCCAGCTATACTCCTCACGGCTGCACTGCTGTGGTGGCTGGCCTTGATGTAACATTTGAGTTGCTTTTTACCTTTTTTAACTTCCTTATTAGTATTTTTCTAACTCCTTACATTGATTATGTACGTTTTGCAAGGAATACGCACCAAATATACTGATCCATTGCTCTGCTGATGAAATTTGTAAGACAATGTTTTGATTTGATATATATTACACTGAGTTTTCCCCAGGAAGGTTTCCAGGATTTACTTTAAAACCAAGCATAAATTGAAAGAAAAAAAGTGTTCCAAGCCATTTAATGAGAAAGATTTTGTTTACTTTACATTACATAACTATCACTTTATCACTAGCTTAACATAGGAAAGCTTTATATGTGTAGTCATGTCTATCTGTCATTGAATACAAGCGAACAATAAAAAGCTTTTTTGTATAAATCTTGTTTTATTCAATTGTTAGTACATTTTTACCACGCACTGTTTCCCATTTCGATGATGTGACCATCTTCTTGAGTGCCCAGTTAGTTTCAACTGTCAGTCTGAACTTTATTAAAACCCGGATAGTCTGGATTCATTAAGCTATTTTGAAACATGTTTACCTTTGCTAGTTCCATTATCTCTGTTTTGGTGTGATAACTCATTAAAAACAAAGGACGTTCAAATCTTTTGATATTTTTACATCACAGTCAAGACAATTATAAGCTGATTTTTGATTAAAAATCTTTATTAAAATCTGAGCTGGGATATATTTCAGATGCTGAGGAAAGAGATCTTTTTTAAGAAGGGACACTAAATATTGAATAGAACAAAACTATAATTTATACTGTAGAATATCAAAACATGGAACGAAAATAAAAGCAAATTCAATTCATTGATCTTCATTTGATACAAGAAGACTTTTTAGATAAAAGAACTTTATTTTACATTTACTGCTTTCATTGTCCTTGGTAAACATCGACTCTATTCAGCAAATAGAGCTTTTTAAAAAAATAATTTAATAATCTTCTCTAGCATGAACACACGGTTATATTTTGTGAGGGTTCTTGCATTTTCAAGAACATTTCTTGAGCCTAAAAACAACTTAAACAGACGTCAAGCCATTTACTTGACTTGTTACAGCTGTTGAAAGATACATAAAGCTCGCTCTAGAAACTGGGCAACGTTTCTGTATATTAAAGTCAGTGCTCCTTATTTCCTAGCGCTAAAGCGAAACATGGTCAGTTCTGAGGAAAGTTTAAGGTACGAAGGTAAGACTTGCTTTAATGTCACAGCATTCACGACCACATTTTAGATTAAGCAAACCATTCTCGGTGTTACAGGGACATTTATGTTTCAATTAGGCTTTCTTCGTATATTGTATCCAAGAATGACGGCAATTCAGAATGTGGAAAATCTGGCGAGTGAACAACTGCGAGGTAGTCATTTAATATTTAAATGGCTATTTGTTATTTTTAACGAAGTTAAACGCTTCTGCTTTTGTCTTCATGGTATTAACAAAGAGTTAATTCTTTTTTTTTTCTTTTTTAGGAAGATTGATCTACAAATACAGTCGGTTTAACAGTTTTTTACAGTAGTAGCAAACAGTTAATTCTTTTTTTTTTCAGGAAGATTGATCTACAAATACAGTCGGTTAAACAGTTTCTAACAGTGAATTTATGTCTAGGATAGGCATTATTTTATGACTGAGGGCTACAAAATTGCTAATTCAACGTTATCAATGTATGAGGCCGAGAAAAGCCAGTACGAATGAAACAAATATCTCGAGAAATACAAACGATAGTGGCAGTCGATACAGCACTGGGTTCTTGTTTATTTTACCAATCATCTTCTCGATCATTTTAATTGGAAATGTGCTTTTTCTCGTTGCAATCGAGTTGTTTCGAGTCCTGCGTGTTCCTGATCTACTCGTTGGCTCGTTGACTGGTATAAGCTCGTTGACTGTTAATAAAATTTTTTTGGGTAGAGTTAATACAGTGTCCCCAATTAGTCCACATGGGCTAAATACATTGACAACTAAATAAAGTTCTTACTTACTTATAGATCTTCTTAACGATATAGGACCTGTGTTAATGTCCATAACCGTCCTTAAAATCGATCAGAATGGCTTTAAAAGTTTCAACATCAGTTACCCCTTCTGTCACTTTTATTTTACAACTGGATGTCCTCATTTCTACGCTTGTCATCTTCCTTTACAGCTACTCTAATGGCTCCAGCAACTGATTAAAGAAATCAATGTTTACTGAATAAACAAGAAATCAAGGCCATAACCTCAATAACCCCAAATTTTAATTTTTCTTTAGAAAGACAATTTTTTCTTAAAGGAAGACAAATTATTCAATAAACTTGTAAATGAAAAGCCGTTGATGCCAGTTTTTTTTCTGAACAAGCGATCTTAACAGGAAATGTGCGGTGTGATTGGCTAGGTTGACGTAAATAATCATTAATTGTGACGTAACCATATAAGTTTTTTTCGAACATCTTTCAGTGCAGTAATGGCAAAACTTAGGTGGACTGTATGAACGGGTGGACGGATTCAAAATTTCTCTAGAAATGGAACCTACTACCAGACAGATTCTCATCTGCGTAGTGATCAGTTTCTTCATTGCTGGTCTTGACTGCTCTCCTCGGAAAGATCGTAAGTTTTGTAAACATATATGGGTTTCCTTCGTGTTTATTAGACACATTACGAGTTTTCCCTAACTAGGTTTTGTTTTGCTGTTCTTGATGCATCCAAAATACTGCTAGTAAACTTTTCTTGCATCGATCTGATTTTTTTTAATATTAATTCTTCGGTGGCTTCTCCACCTTCATCATAGCTACCGGTGTAAACAAGTTTGTTACTGCTCGCGCACAAGCCTGTGTGCTGTCGTTTTTAAGGACGTTAGCGCGCGAAATGTGCCCTCAGACAGATTTTGTTAAAGCTTATCATGAAGTAAGGTAAAGATCAACTTTTGCTAAAAAGCCTCCAAAATAGGCAGTCACCGTTCTCGTTTTCGAGATGAGGCGCGTTGAAGACCATCCGTTTTTAGAGGTCTTCGTTATTTCAAGATGATGCCAGCTTACAACCATCGGTCATAAAAAAAAAGTTCATTAGTGAAATTTAGATCAGGTAAACGTGCTCAATTCAACATAACTAAGTATATTAAATACCTATTGGAGCTGATGTCGCTTCTTGAGGTAGGATAGGCCTAGAAAGGAATACATATTAGCCTTGCCTATTCACATTCGAAGAAAACTTCGCTCACACGAGAGCAGGAAAAGCGAAATATTTGAAACTTCCAAAGGGCAGATATTTCCTATTTTTTTGTTAAAATAAACAAAATCGGACCAGTAATTGATATACGAAAAGAAAAATGGGAATCACTGAGCATCCACGAGAACAAATTACAGGCGAAGTAAGTGCACCCGGTGCCACAGCCCTATACTTGCTTATATTTCTTTCTTAGCGCGCGCGCTTGATGTATGACGTGGCGTGACGTTGCAACATGAATACCGTGCGCAGAATGGATGGTCAGTAACAATGGGTGCGAACATCCTCAATTTTGAATTAAAGGCACGTAAGTGCGAGGGCGCGAGGTGAGTGCCGCGACTCTAAGAAAACTTTCTTGCAGCACTAAGTCGCACTATCAATAGGAGCCCTGAAGCTATTACCTAACATCATGATTACACAATAATAGGATAAGTACAAAAAAAACATAAATATAGGAAAGTATATTACAACAAATATAAAAAGCCTTAAACTACCATAGTAATAAGTTAATGCAGATATTATACATCATAATGCAGGTGATGCAGCTTACATGAAATATTAACTAGGAAGAATTTTGGAAATTTTGAATGAATGGATTCGTTTTTGAATTAGCATCGTAAAACCAAACCCAGAGTAACTACGCAGTCAATCCATTGAGCCAATCCAAACTCCAGAAAAATACATGTAGCTGACATGAGGCAAGGGAAAATACGTGCGAGTGAGGGGGTTCAGAGCCACCTTAAGTAAGTTTTCGAAAATTTAAGAAGGCTGTGAACACCCTTCACAGAATTTTTTTGAACTTTACAAAAAGGCGTCTTATCATGCTGATTAAAATTCGATAATAAAAATTGGGATCACCGAGCTCGATTTTGAGTTATAGGCGCTTAAAGCTAAGATTAAGGATGGTTTTAGCAGCTTATATTGTTGCTATGGTAAACGTGCCACAAAATTGACAGCAACATGTTTACCAATGTTTCTGATTCCATGATTTTGGCATCAACCGATGTAGAGTGGTTATAATGACCCATCAAAATCTAAGTCTTGGAAAGGACTGGAAACTGTTGCGAGCCACCTTACTGCGTTCGACAGAACACAGTTCTGATCGCGTAATGCAGAAAAATTCTTTATCTATGAATCTATTTGGGGACACCAATTTGGCCCCTTCAAAAGAATTATTCTGGGATGAACGACGTCATGTCCATGTTTGTCCATGTGCTTTCTTTTGAGTGTTGCTCAATATTGCGGACTTTCGAGTGTCGAGGAAGCTTATTGTGAACTGCTGCGGATACTGAAATTGTTTATTTTAAGTTCGAAGTCAGTGTTAATGGCATTTAAAAACCTTGCAGACATGTCTTCACGAAATGTGTACGACTTTTCCCTATAGCTGTTATTCCAAAGCCAAGGCGACTCAAAGTCGTGTTCGCAAGCAAAATAATTGGCCTAATTTTGGTACTAAAAGCACGTCGTCTCGCATACCGACGGAACAAACATGGTTGAGGACTGCGGACTGCGGACTGCGGACTGCGGACTGCGGACTGCGGACTGCAGACTACGGACTGCATACTGCAAACTACGAACTACGGACTGGGTATGAAACGCAGACTTATGTATAAAACACGGACTGAACATTACGGACTGGGCATAAAACGCGCGCGGAATCAGGTATAAAATGGGGACTGCAGACTACATGCGGCCTCCAAATGCAGTTCATGGTTTTTACTGACCGGTCGTAACTAATATTACACAATACATGTATAAACGAGAACAAACCCTCTCGCAGACCTTCTCTCTCGCATGCACGTGCTTTACGATCAATTCAATTTTTTTTGCCCCTGTTGAAGGAAGACCTATTTCACGCCTACCTAACAGCTCAGGCACAAAATGCTTTCCCTGGAATTTTTGTTGTTTTTTAACATACCAAACCTCCTTTGGGATCACTTATTTGTTTTCGCCCCTGCTGAATGGAGACAAATTTCACACCTACCTGACAGCTCAGGCATAAAACGCTCTCCCTAGAATTTTTTTTTTTAACACACCAAGCTACCAAAACTCGAACACACTCTTTAATCTAAGATTACTAATAGTATTATCATTATTTTCCTCTTCATTTGCAGGCTTGGTGAACGTCGCTTATAAAAGACCTGCGAGTCAAATCAGTACAAGGGACATTTA